CCTGCTGACTGATCCTCAGACTCTGAGCTGCAGTGGGACCTTGGCAGGGTGGCACTGCCAGACTCTGCTCTGGCACATACCCAGCATGCACCCGCTGCTGCGAACAACCATCTTCACCAAATCCAACCTAACACATTTGTGATTTTGAGGCACTTCTGTTTTTTTGTTTCTTCTCTTCTATTTTTTATTTTTTTGTGCTTGGGTTTTTCTGGTTTCCCAGGCAGAAGGGGTGCTGTTGGGGAAACTGGATTAGCCCAGCCCACAGCACCACCAGAGTGCTAATTTTCTGTGTGGGGCTGCTAATCAGACAAAGCCTACTCTGTTGCACGTAAAATCTCTCTCTCCCTCGCGCCCCCCCTCTCTCTCTCTGTGGGTATGAGTGAGCGAGTGAATTGTGTTTGGGGGTGGGTAAAGCTAGAATATGCATGGTGCTCCGTGAATGCAACAGTGAAATACAGGCTGCACTGTGTGTTTGTATGAAGCATGTGTGTTTTTGTGCTAATGTTGGGGTGGGAAAGATCAAATATTCATGGGTTTGGTGCCACACTGATTGTGGTGAATGGGAAGGACTACTTTCGAAAGGGAGGGAAATACGAGCGTTTGTCCGAAATCGTATACTTTCAGAGTAAATACTATATTTGATATTATAAAAGTACTTCACATTCATTAGATAGATAGATAGATAGATAGATAGATAGTAATCTATAATATAAAAATTATGCATCTATCAGTCTGTCTTTTTATCCATTCAGCCAACGATCTGTCTATCCGTCCATCAATCTATCCGTTTTATCAATCTAGCATTTAATCTATCTATCGTTCTATCTGTTGATCATTTGTCTTTCCCTGTTGTTCATTCTATCTATCATTCTATCATTCATTCTGTCTGTTGTTCAGACAGTCTTATCTATCATTCTGTCTGTTGTTTGTTCTCTGTAGTTTTGTTTCTCAATCTGTCCGTCGGTCTTTGTGTCTGTCTGTCTGTCTATCATTCTAGTTATCAATCTCTCATTCTCTCTGTCCATCATTCGATCCATCATTCTATCTGTCGTTAGTTCTCTCCCTCTATCGTTAAACTATAGACGTGTACATGTGAACACAAAAGTTGTGTCTTTCCCTCTTATTCGTAGAGCATAGAGAAAAATATCTGTTCCTCTCCCTGAATTATGAAGTTTAGGTCTCCTGGCTTCCCCCTCCACATCTATTTTTAATTCTAATGGCATTTCTTGTGTCCCTCTGCGGACTCCCGTATGGATCCCTTCAAATGTCACTCATATTACAAATAGAGAAAAGGGCTTATGTCATCTCTTTTTCATAATGTGGCCTGAAAAAAATGTTCACTCCTTGCCAAGCAAGTATGTTCTTGCTTGTTGCTGGGGTCTTGAGACTAGCTGTCAAGAGTTTGTGTGATTTCTTTGTTCCTCGCCTCTTTTCTCTCGTGCATATCAAAGGCTAAACCCATTATAGGCTGTAGCATGCAGTTGTGTTAGCATCAGCCTTCACAGGTTAATCATCCGAGGGGTTCGCGTATCAGATCTGCGAGTCAGTGTTTGGCTTATCGCGCCACAGTGCTGTTCACCCGCGTTCAACTCAGCTCGCTTCTTATCAGCAGCTGGAGATTTTACTCCCGCATACCTAAGCGCAGAGCTCCATATCGTCAGCCCATCTAAATGGGAAGAAAGCGTCCACATGTGTCCCGGCCAACCTCCACCCCGTCCTCCCAACCCTGCCTTTTTGTCTCTGATTACTGTGGAACATTTCCGTTCCCAGAGCTCCGGGACACTGATGGATTGACAGTGGGAGAGCGGAGACGGTCTCTGAATCCCGCTCTTTTCGTTTAGTTTTATTTATGAGCTCATGTCAGGCACGTACTTCAGCAGTGAACTTCAGAGAATGGCCTGTTCGATATCTGCCATCTGAGTAAGCATGTTTGCCACTTAATGATACTAAAGTGGGAAGATTTTTCTGAGGAAAATCGATTGATACACATATCTATTTGTTTTCGCTCGATTTGAATTCAAATGATGTGGCACATTCTCCCCTCTGTTTTCACTTCCTCTCTCTGCTTTTCTTTCTCTCTATCGTGGGTGAAACATTATAATTAGCTCTAGTTCTTAAAAGACCATGTGAAATCGTTTGGCGAGTACAGTTTCTTTCCTGTGTTAACTTATTTCCTGTTGAAATATAAAGTTTAAGTCAGACTTTTTTCATTGCCAATTGCTCTTACTTCATCACAACCACGAGCATAATTTTTTAAAAATGATTTTGAAGTAAGTCTCTTATGTTCACCAAGGCTGCATTTATTTGATCAAAAATACAGTAAAAACAGTAATATTGTGAGATATTATTACAATTTAAAATAACTCTTTACTGAATTAATATAATTTAAAATGTAATTTATTCCACTGATTGGAAAGCTGAATTTTTAGCAGTCCTTACTCCAGTGTTCAGTGTCGCATGATCCTTCAGAAATCATTCTGCTGATTTGCTGCTCAAGACCAACCAAGTTGTCTATATTTGTAGAAATATTTTTTGTTGCTGTAACATGTTCATTTTATCACTAATTTATAAATATCTTCAAAGGAAGAGGACAAAGACACTAGGTTTCATTAGGTCCACCTGGCATGGCTAATATGTAGTATAGTTAAAGCATGGTGTGCTGCCAGCGTATTGCCCTCAGTCCTTGTGTGATGCCCTCCTGATTCTTATTCACGAATGGAATGGAGCCTGTGCCAAACCTCAGCAAGACTCAGCCAGGTCTCGCACATCACTGAACATGACGTTGGGCCACTGTTGAGTTTCTTCAGACATGTGCCACCAGAGTCAGCAAGTTACTTGTCACCATGCTGACTTTCCTGGAAATATGAACTATGATTTAGGCCTAGAACTTTTCCTCAGTTTCGTATTGACAGACTTGCTTTTCCGAGGGTAACCATGACATCAGCCGTACCATCTGCAGCTTTGTGGCTGCTAGTCTAGCATCACATGACTGTAATTCAGTATAAGGATGCAGGTGCTTTGACTGAACACAAACTGACTCTTACTGATTGTCTTCTCCATCTTCTGTTATTTGTGTGCGCTGTAAGTTTGTGTAAACGGTGAATTGTGTCTCCTCTTCCTGAGCTATTCATTCATCACAGCTGCAGTCTAATTAATGTCATTTCTCTGCTTGAAGATTATGAAACCTTTCTTTCATCTGTGTGTGTCTGTCTTCTCTCATCTGAGTTTATACAGGATGGATATTTTTAACCAAGTTTGATTTGATTGTTTGCCATGCCTTAAGATACGGTCACATTTACAATTGTTCTGTGAATGTTCATGGGAAAAATCCTGTCACATGAGTAGGAATGAATGTGATTAAGCATTTAACAAGAGGGCGAAAGATTTCCCCCCACAAAATTTGCTACAGGTCTGAGTGGTCAACGCAGCATAGCCGTGTGCCTAACTCAAAGCCATAGCAAAATTTTGGTAATATTAGCGCATATTTACTTGTACTGTGGCAGCAACATTTTAATCCAGTTAAGACTAGCCTGAACTGGTTTGCTGGTCATAACTGGTCAGCCAGCTGATAAGTGCTCTTAACCCCTTTAAAAACAAGTCTAGGAAAGCAAGATCTTTGATCATTAAAAACACAAATTTCATAACACTCTTAAATATTTAGAAAATATTAATAATAAATTCATATTGAAAAATAAACATTAAATGACATTATAATTTAATATATTAATTTTTTTTAATTGTACTTTTCATAGTATTTATGTTTTTAAATTTATTGTTAAAATGATTGATTTTACTGTTAACTGTTTTATTTTTAATTTATTTAGGTGAAATAGTATATAATTTAACATGAAAATGAAGATAATGACCTCTTTTTACTTTTCTGTTAGTGTTATTTCTTTCTTTATGGATGTTTCAGAGCTGTATCCAGTTGATTTGGCAAACATTTCCCACCATTTAGACTGGAAAGTCTTTTGAGATGCCTCATTTGGCTCATGATTTTAAGGCCCACAGATATATCCATGCGTGTCTGTGATTGCTAATGAGTTTTATTGATATGTGAGGGAGTTATTGTGTGAAGCTGTATAAGCCGGTGTTGAGAGTGTGTGGCTTGAAATCAACCGTCTCCTGTGCTCTGCAGGTCAGTTCCAGTAAGGCAGCTGGGAGCGCTCAGGCCAACCCCTCCGGAGGGGCTGTGGCAGGTGCTATGGGCACAGGAAGTGCTGCTCCAGCACAGGGAGATCTGGACCTGTTCAGCGAAACCAGCGGGAGTAGCAAAGCAGAGGACTCGGCCAAGAAACCTCTCTCCAAGGACTCCATTCTCTCCTTGTATGGCTCCAGCAACGTCCCACAACAGCCTGCACAAGGTACATCCATCCCCCAGAGTCCCACTTTCTTATTCCTCAGAGAATAAGCGATCTGAGCGAGAGAATGCAGATCTATAAATGGCGCTATGCATCCGGAGTCCATTTCTAATGGTGCTGTGGGAGTGTGTGTGTGTGTGTGTGTTTGTGTGAAAGCAAGCAAGGTTCTTGAGAAGCCCTGCTTTAATGGGAGTATCAATAATTCAAGCACTGCGTGTCTCAGCACTCTGATACTGCTGAACGTGGTTTAAAGCTGCCTGCTTCGCCTGCCCTACTCTTCAAAGAAGACATTTCCAAAAACCTCAGATGCTCCAAATGAAGGCGCTGCCAATTCTCCACCATCAGGACGATTTAGACGCCCCCTTTCATCCTGCACACCTCTTCTGTCTCAAAGATCCATTTCCTCTGGGCCGAGGCGAGGAACTGCACACATTAGCGCAGATATTGATCGCTCTCTTCCATCTGTGAAGCTTTGTGTGTCAGGGTCCTCTGGTCTGCTTCTGTTTTTGTCTCTTTGAACATATTGAACATGTCGTCATGTGTAAATCTTATTTGTGTACCTTTGTGCGTTTCTGCTCCCACAGCAACTGCGATGTTCATGGGCCCATCTCAGATGCAGTTCCCTGCACAGCCACAGGGGAACTTCCAGGCCTTCCCTGGGATGGGAGGAGCCATGCCGCCCACTACTATGATGGGGGCCGTCATGGGGCAGGGCGGTGCTATGATGGGCCAGAATACGGGCATGATGGTTGGCATGACGATGCCTAACGGTTTCATGGGAAACGCACACCCAGGAGTAATGGGCTTGGCCCCAGGCATGATGGGACCTCAGGGCATGGTGCCCCCTCAAAACATGTATGCCATGCAACCAGGTCAACAAGGACAGTGGAATATGGCACAGGTATGTTATATTTGGATTTGTGACTGTTAATGGTGCTGTTAGCAGTTTACCACATATAAAATGTTCCTTCAGTCACTGAAATAAGTCTCTTATGAAATCACACATGTCTCTGTGACAGCTCTAGGCCTATGAACGACATAAAGTACACTTTAGAAACATCCTATGCTATTTTAAGTCTATGCTAGAAGTCCATTTGGTACATTTGGTTTGCTGAAATGCCTTTGAAGAGTGGGATTTTGGAGTGATGGCATGTGGTTCAAGGAATGCGGAGACAGTTTAATAGTTTTAATATTTGTATAATATGTATTATATTATTACGTAATTTTACGTTAAATGTAAGTGCTATATTTACCTTATTTGTATCTAAATTTATGAATATTATTGATTATTAATATAAATAAATATTATATTATCATAAACATAATCATTACATTAAAAGCTTAGGGTAAGATTTATTTTTTTATTTTTTTGAAAGAAGTTACTTTTATTCAGAAAGGAGGGCATTAAGCTGTTTAAAAAATGACAGTAAAGACATTTATAATGTTACAAAAGATTTTTATTTCCATTAAATGCTGTTATTTTGAACTTTCTATTCATCGAAGAATCCTATAAAAAAATTTATATATATATATATGTGTGTGTGTGTGTGTGTGTGTGTGTGTGTGTGTGTGTGTTTGTTGAGCACCAAATCAGCATATTGGAATGATTTCTGAAGGATTATATGACACTAAAGACTGTTAATAGAGTAATATTATTTCTTAATATTATTGTTCTTACAGTATTTTTAATCAAATAAATGCAGCCTTGGTGAGACTATTTTCAATAACATTTAAAGAAATCTTATTGACCCCAAACTTTTGAATGGTAGTGTACATTCTTAAAAAATGTAGGTGTAAATAGTAGGGATGCTCCGATCCGCCTTTTTCGCCTCCGATACCGATTCCGATACCTAGGGTTACTGCTGTAACCGAACGCGACCAGGGTTTAAAGGCTGAACGAATGACTGACAGCCACAGCGGAGAAAAGAGTTTGTGTGAACTTTAATGTAAGGACTTAAATATTCATATGTAGCTCACATTAAGCTATCGTATGGCTTCAGAAGTAACACAGAATAATTCGCACAATCGGAAAAAAAAAAATTCTCGGATTTGGATCGGCCCTCTCTGACCGATACCCGATCCGAGAAAAATGGCACTATCGGAGCCGATACCCGATATGAATATCGGATCGGCGCATCCCTAGTAAATAGGAAGTGCTCATAGGATGGTACTCACATCTCATAAATATATAGAAATATAAAATTACCTTTATATTGTATTATAAAGACAAGGGTGATCAAGATAAATGAAACTTTTAAGATTATACTGTTTTCCAGTGATATTTATTGAAGTCCTTATGAAAGTCCTTAGAGTAAAGAGATTGTATTTCTAAGTTGGGTTAGTAAATCGGTCCACTAGTAAGCTTTTTGAATGCAGATAACACCTAAACTAAACAACCCTCTACAGTTGATCACATTGGCTAAACTGGAGTGTACGGCCTAAATAAGTGTTCGGTACATTGCACGAAGGAAAGAGTCTGTAATCTCTGGCAGCTACAAGAACCCATTGAGGAGGAAGCATTCAGGGAGCTGGCAAACAAATGATGATTGAAACAATATCATGACATAAACAGAACCAAAATGATGTTGTGTGTGGGGAAAAAAAGTGAAAAATGCCCTAATTACTTACTGTTGATGACAGTACACTTAAGTCACAAACCGGAGGTCAAGAGCTTCAGGTTAGGTTGATAATGTTCCTCTGGGGAATGTATTTTAAGCCAACCCTCTTTAGAATCTGCCATGAGTCACTGATAGACGTTGGTAGACGTTCATCATCATTGCAGCGTACTGGCTGCAGTGGATCAGCATCAGCTTTTTATATAGAGAACATCTATATCCGAAGCTATTACCATTCATCATATCCGACTCCAACCATGCATCCTCTGGTATCCACAAAGCTTTCCTTTTATTCAGATCAGATCTTTCACATTTTCAAAACCATTTCAGGTGGAAAGCGAGCTGTCAGTTTAGGTCTCTCTATGACTCTCACCGTATAATCAGAGATTCATTATAAGGGTTTTAAAATCCTCATCTAATCTGCTGTCACCTCCCATCTGTATGTGGCTCATTAAAGATGAGGGCTCAGTGACTCCGACCTCTCAACTTCTATCATCTCCCTGCCTCGCCCCCTCCTCCTGTGGCCCGTGACCCCCTGTGTATGAGGCTGAGAGCAGAGGGAGTCCGAGATTTCAGCCTCCGGGAGGTTAATTACACATCATAAATCAATACAGCATGCTTTACACTCACACGGCCTTAATTAAAATCCCTCCCCACAATGCAAGTGTGTGTGCGTGTCCTGAGTTACAGGCCTTCAGCAGCGCATTTGTATTTTGAGAGACCGGATGAGGAAAGAAATGCGTTTGCTTAAAATACACCAAATAATGTTCTTTTTAGCAGCATCGTATGACCCCTTTAATGGTTTTCTGGAGTGAGGGTAATTTTGCAGCACAGTTCCTGGGAGGAGTGTTTTTTTTCCCGAGATGGATCTGACTTGAGATGTTTTTCTTCGTTACCCAGCTCACAGAGCATCTCCCTATTTTCCGAAGGAGGACTGAGGAGAACCAGTGCACAGGGGAAAGAAGAATCATTAGTGTTTGATATTCACTCCTCTGAATAGCTGAGTACTGTTCTTGGAGTATTTACAAACACACACACTCTCACTTATTTCTCTGTGTGTAGGCAGTATTGTGTTGCGGAGGAGGTAGTTGTAATTACGAGACTGGTCAAATTTGTCCTGCTGTGCATTTGAGCACAAAATGAAGTCGACGTCCACAGTGGATCCTCCTGAGGATTTTCAGAGAATTTTTGTAAATGTTTTTGAAATGTCTAAAAACATTTTATGCTCATTAGGGTTGCATGTATTTGGTCAAAAAATACAGTAAAAAATAATGTTTTGAAATATTATTAAAATTCAACAATATCTGTTTTAATATATTTTCAAATGTAACTGATTCCTGTGATGGCAAAGCTGAATTTTGAGCAGCCATTACTCCAGTCTTCGGTGTCACATGATCCTTCAGAAATCATTCTAATATGCATCATTCAATCATTTCTTGTTATCAGTTGAAAACAGTTGTGCTTCTTAATGTTTTTGTGGAAACGGTGATGTTTTTTTCAGGATTCTTTGATAAAGTTTAAAAAAAACAACATTTATTTGAAATAAATCTTATGAAATATTTTCAAATGTCTTTGATCACTTTTGATCAATTCAATGCACTGTTACTGAATAAAAGTATTACTTTCTTAATAAAAAAAAATGTTCAGACCCCACATTTTGGAATGGTTTAGTCTAAAAATAGTCATAAATAATTTTTCATTAAATTAATGATTTCACATTTATGAAGCAAGCAGTTCTGTTGTATCTTAAGTCTTTTATATGTAAATGAGCTCTTTTATGATTGGCTAGCCTCTGCATACTGGCACGCTTCACTGTTTCGCTCATCAGATAAGGCTGAACTGCTGAATAGTGAATAAAGAGTTATGTAAACAATAACATAACCTTGTATAAACATTATGTAACACCAACCATCTATTCAATTAGTGAGGTCGGCTTTGCTTTAGCTGTTATATTTTCTTAAAAGTGTAGCTTCACAGGGAATTAATTTAGAGACTGACCGCAACTTCTCCGAGAGGTTTTTAGCATGCTGACAGTGGTTTAGTGTGCTGTTAGACTGTCAGCATAGTTTAAGGCACCTCTCTGCATTCATCCCCTCTAAAACACCAGCACTATTGCCATCAAAGTGCCGCTTGTGTCACAGATCCACCGCATTCAATAACATATTTCAAGATGATTACTGTCGGGCTTGGTGAACTGATGGTGTGCTGTGAGCAGTATTCCCGTTATCATCCACAGTTTCTTGTGTAATAAAAGATTGTAATTATTTTAGCCTCTGTATATATGCCAGACAACCCACCGACTGGTCGATTATGTAGTTCTGTACATGCATTATCGACTTAGTACATCAAACTTATTTCAAAGAAAGAAAATCCAGTATTCCATTATATATCCTTTCGACAGCTGGATAAAGATTGCACAAACTTTAGTTCCCAGAATTCAAGTTAATAATGAAAAAGAGGGGGCTTCTTATTTGAAACCATTAGTTTTTCTCTCCCTGCTGGATATGAGCTGTAGAGACAGTGATATAAATCAGACAGACGTGTCTGATGGGCTGCCCCACCGCCAGCGCACCCCACAGGACACACTCCTCTACGCCGCTCTGCTCTCAGGAAGAATACTGGTGGGAGTCAAGGGAAAAGAGTAGAGGTATAGAAAATGAAAGAGAGAGGGAGGTAGAAGAAGAGTAATAAGAGGGGTAATGAGTTTAAAGATCAGAGGACAGCTTCGTAACCTGAAAAAAAATAAAAGAGGAAAAGGGAACATAGGCTGTGCACCACACAAATAGTGCTCTCCGCAGGAGACTATTTATTTCAATAGAGTTTCCTGTTAGCAAACTGAAGCTCATGCAGATATTATAAATATTTTTATTTAATTAAAATGTTTAATTAAATTTTTATTAAAAAAAAAACATCCAAAAAATGTTAAAATTAAATATCTATGATAATATTTACGAATATTATTTCTCTCCTCTTGTCTGCTAATTTTGAGGGGGGGGGTTTTCCCCCTTCACTGAGCTCAGTGCATTCTTGCATTTTCCGCAAGGGATACTTGTAATGATGGCTTAGAATCTAGCCAAATGCACTTTTCGTAAAATCTTTTTTTGTTGGTAGAGTGTCCATGGTGCCTTATAATGCTTCCTCTGTAGGTTTTGGACCATAGCTAATTATGCTAACAAGTCTTGTGTATAAAGATGTTTCACACTTCTGTCTCTCCTCTTGTCTTTTTTCAGATAAACCAACAGATGTCTGGAATGAACCTGAACGGTTCTGGTGCTCCAATGGCATTTGGGCCACCTGGTGCCCCCATGGGCGGCTGGGTGGCACCCCCCTCCGGTCAGACCCTCAGCACCCAGCTCTGGAAGTAAATGAATGAGAGAAGATGGAGGACAAGGGGCACCACATCCTTCCATCTCTCCTCTCCTCCTCCACCACTACTCGTACCCAGAGTTTTATTCATGTACTGTCATTTTTTTTCTCCTTTCTCTTTCCAACCATACTCTGGAGAGCATCGATTCAACCTTCCCTGTTTATTGATCAAGTGAGCGAGAGTATGGAGTGTAAGAGACTGGCAGCTTTGAGCGTCTTATTTGCAATTTTTTTTTTCTTATATATATATATATATATATATTTTATTTTTATTTTTTGTTTTTTTGGGGAGGGGGGTTTAAACACATATCAGCTACAAGAAAGCTGCTGGACCAATTATACAGGCTTCTAATATATCTTTACCAAATCAATAGTGAGTCATAGTATTTAAAAGACAGAGGTATGGCTATCATATTTGTGAATTCCCCCTCCTTTTCCTATCTTGTGTAGCCCCATGTCCCAGAACCCTGTAGCAAATATTGTATAGACCCATGTAATGTATGTAATCATGAGATAGATGAACCCCTCGCCCCCTCTCTCCGGCCTCTCACCCTACTGGATTTGTGTAGCTCCATGACAAACTCCACCTTAACTGTGATGTTTTAATGTGTGCGTTAACAGAGAAGCACAGTGAGTGGCAGACAAATAAACCTGGACGACTGTACAGCTGTGACAGCTAACGGAAAAAGGGGGCATTGGGGGTCAATAAAAAGTTTTAGCCAGCTAGTTTTGAAAAGTAAGGACTGATCAAAAGTTTGCAGTCGAACACGTCAGTCTCGCCGCTGTAGCAGAGCTTCTATCCTCTCAGACAGGGTCTCTCTGCTGTGCAATAATATAAACATCCCCACCGTGTCATCCAGGTTTATTTCTATAATGTGTTTACATTTTCTGGTGCCTAGTACAGAGACAGAATATTGTTATTTCCGTGCATTAAACCATGAATAGCCATGAACTATTGTGTGATCATTTTGTCTAAAGACGCATTTATTGTAAAGTTATATTTTCCTTTTTTGCTTTTAAAGAGGGTCGTTTGGAATAAAGACAGTTGTAATCCAAAAGTTCTGTCCTTGTAATAGTGTCTCACGCTTTAGATGGTATTTCCAGGGTTTTTCATCCACTGTTCCTTTTGTTTTCATGGACTGTTCGATTCCCTTCAGCACCATTCAACCTCTCTGTACGTTATTCTAGCGGCTGGTCCTTTTCCTCCCCATTCACAGACATTGATCTGATTCTCCCGAGTGTCCAGAGTCTGCAAGATGGGAATAAGATCAAGTTTTTTCATGTACAGTTGCCAATTGAAAACCCCTTATCCATGGTTTCTCCTCTACCACATTACAGGTAATCCAGTGTGACGCCACAGTGAGAAGCTTCAGCAGATACAGTGCATGTCAGTAGAGAATACAGAGACAGCTTGGCATGTCTTTTCCGCCAGAGCAGGTATCCTAAAGTTCAAAGGTGGCCATCGATTTGGAAAGTGCAGATGATGGCGGGCCTTCATCCAGTGTTACACTCTTAAAAATAAAGGTGCTTCAGGATGCCATAAAATAACCTTTTTGTCTAAATGGTTCCATAAAGAACCTTTAACATCTGAAGAACCTTTCTGTTTCACAAAAGGTTCTTTGTGGCGAAAGAAGGTTCTTCAGATTATAAAAAGGTAAGAAAGAGATGGTTCTTTAAAGAACCTTTGACTGAATGGTTCTTTGTGGAACCAAAAATGGTTCTTCTATGGCATCGCTTGAAGAACCTTTTGAAGCACCTTTATTTTTAAGAGTGTATATGACAGTCTTAGTCCAGTGTCAATCGCTAGACCTCTATATAGACTGAGTCCTGTTGCCGCTTTGGTTCGTTACCCAGGTTGACCTTCTCAGTGCGGGTATGCCAGACCAGGACCTGAAAGAAACCATTTGAAATCAGGTATTTAAGAATATGGGAACCAAGCACATGTGTATTGTATGTACCAAGGCAGTTTACTTGCATTACTATAAATAAGACTGCTTTTGAAATGCTTTACCAACCTGAAATAAATGCTTTTTAACACCATTTGAGCCTAAAAAAACAGCATTTATGAGTCCGTTCATGTCATTTAAATGTTAATTTGACAAGCAGTTTATAAGATTTATATATTTCTCCATTCAAGCGGATTGGAGTTGGTCTTGAACCCCCGAAAATAGCTGCCCAGAGGGGTTGCAAATATGGCCGCCGAGTGAACTGACATTCCTTAAAAGGGATTTTGAAGTCAAGGACACGTACACGTCTACATCATAACAGAAAATAAGGTCATTGTGTGTGATCTCTCAGTGGAGATGTTTTAGGCTGTTGGTGCGTGAAGGGTGCTGGATTGGGATCTCTTAGACTGGTTCCATATCTTAATTATATCAGATAGAGGCAGTGCAGGGAACGAGCACAGTTAAATGGCCGCACCCAGGTGTGACGCGTCAGTTCCTGAACACATGGCACTGCAGATTGACTTGTTTTGCATAACAAGGCTAATTTAACAGAACCATAAGTGATAAATAAGGTGCACCGTGGAGCAGCAACCCAGAAGTAAACCAAAGCGTCCTGTAGTGGCCTTATAACAAGATGTATCAGTCTGGTAGATTCTCTAATAATGCTTCTTATGAAGGTGTCTGACACTTTACTTTGCTGTCTCCCGTTGTTCCCTTGATAAATATTACCAGGCCCAGTAAGCTGTAGGACAGGGCTTTATATGTGGCTAAAAGCATTAAGAACTTTAAGTCTGAAGGTCTGAGATAGACTAAATTGGAAAATTCCTGAAGTGAATTGTAATTGGTTTGTGGGTGGTAAAACTTCATTAGTTGTGTTTGTGTGCTGCTGTCAAAGATATTTGCAGAGTGATGTCTAATTTTTTATAAAAGGAAAGTAATAATACATGAAGAATTAAACTTGCTTCCACTTTCTTATGTAATAAATCCTTTAATTTTTAATGTCGGTAATGTAATGGCTACAACTCAGTGCATAACGGTTGAAAGCAGTGATATAACAGCAGTGTGGAGGTGTAAAGCCAGCAGTCCCCATGGGCTCTGGTAATTGTAAATGAGTTTCAAGACAAAGTTATTCAAATTTAAACCCTTCATAGTTTTTGGACTAATCTTGGAGCAGTCATGGTCTTTACCTGTGTATCTATGAGAATATTGTAAGACAAGTGTTGATGTCATTGTCATTATTGCAATGTGTACCGAACTCTTGTTAAATACTCTGATAGACAGATTTCAATTTGTACAGAGAGAAACCCCACTTCGAGCGATCCAGGAATGAGAGAAGACACCCTGTCACCCTACTCCTCTTGATCCTGTCCTCCTTCTTCAATACGTTGTTTTGGCTTTTAAAAAGGGAGGTTGATAGATGAAAACACAAATAAATACAAGTAGAACATTTGACCATTTTAGCTTCAGTAATATCATGTAATGTGTTATTTAGAAGACATTAACATTTTCATAGTTATATACTGTATATAGTCATTTTCATATATATATATATATATATATATATATACTTTCAATTTGTAATAATATTTCACAATATTAGTTTTTACTGTATTTTCAATCAAATAAATGCAGCCTTGGTGAGCATAAGAGACTTCTTTCTAAAACATTTTTTTAAATCCTCCCGAAATTTTGAACAGTAGTGTATGAGCTAACAACAAAAAAAGTTCTATGCTCTTTCTATTTAGCTAGTCTATAAAATTCATGTTAATTCATAATATATGTTAATTTAAACAACTTGCATTGTAAAAAAAAAAAAGCAGTATATGTAGAAATTAATATTAACACAGGTTAATAAATGCTTTTAAAGTATTCTTCATTCTTAGTTCATGCTAGCTATTGCATTAAGTAATGTTACTATTGAAGTACTAATATAACTAATGAAGAATCTTAGTTTAAAGTGTTAACAATAATCAGAAAGCTTTATTGCCAAGTAGGTGTTCAGCTCCAAGTTGTTAAGACTGCACCAGACAGCCAGCTCTTTAACCTCCTGTCTGTAAGCAGACTTGTCTTTTAAATACACCTTAAATAGATTTTCTACAAATAGGATAGAATCTTGCATGTCATCAGATCTAATTGTTATAGCCTATAATTGTCAAAGTATTTTAGCTCTTAATAAATGTGAAGTACTCAGGCCCATTGTGAAAAATGTCTGTGGATTCGGGCTGTCCCATATGAAACAATTTTCTCAAACAATGTTAGTGTTGAAGATTCTTCCTAGGGTTTCTTTTGAACCTAAACAGGATGAGCATCTGAAGCCTTGAGAGAGAATAATAATTTGAGCGATTGTGTTGTGGGCAGAGTGAAGCATGCTGGCACGCTGACAGCAGTCTGGCAGGATCTGGTCTGCAGGAGCACGATTGAGATTGACATTAATAAATAGGAGAGTCTATGCACTGACTTCTGTAAATAAGCCTGTGAATCTCTCACACACCCTCTTCACCTCTTCACATCTATATGGCATGTTTGCCATCTCTCTGCCAATCTCAAACATATTCCCTTTGCCCTCTTTTTCTTCCTTTCTCCCTCTGTCCCTTTCCTCCTTGTCACATCAGTTCAGTCTGATTACTCACATGAGATGACCTCCCTCACTCCTACCCAGCCTCCCTGTGCTTAATTTTGAAGTGCATGCTGGGAGTTGGCCATATCGCCCTGCCCACAGGCTTAGTCACAGTCATCCGCTGGGACCCTCAAGAACACTTCTACAAATGTGACCTTTCCAAAAGACGTCGCTGGCAGTGCTCCACTTTGGACAGATGCCCGCTCACACCCATCACGAGGACCCATAACTGTTGGCACAAGCACTTCCTTTTGTTTACTTCCATAATGCCATCCTTGTATAATTGGACTGCAGCCACAAATGTAAGTATATTAAACTCCCACTTTGTCCAAGTAGCGACTTGCACTTCTTCGTAACTGTCAGTGGCCCTTCTACTCCGGTGTACAGGTTATCTACACGCTTACACCCGCCATGGCATTGTACCACAGCAACAAACAGGGTTCCCACGCTTCTTGAAAGTACTTGAATTTCAGACATATGGATTCAAGGCCTGGAAAGTACTTGAAAACAAACATAGGTCCTTGAAAGTGCTTGAATTAAATTTGAAATACATTTTGTTTATGGCGCTATTTCAAAAATTGTCCTATATGTTCTGTCAAAGAATGAAATGGCACTAATGATTGGGGTGGAGACGGGGTAGCGTGGAAAAAACTTAGCGTGTGTGTTGATGCGCAGCCTAGAGCCCTGAGCGGGATAGTTTTCTTAAGCCCGCTCCCGCTGAATTTCTGACTATTACCGCCCACTCCCGCAACGTGTGTGTGCCCCTCCAGCAAACATTCTCATATTGTATATACAGGGATTAAAGTTTTCCGTCGCTACTACGGATTTCCGTCAATTGGAAAAAATGAGGGGAGAAGAAACACGTAGCACACTGTTGTTGTTCTGCCGGCACACCAAAAATCATCCCCGCCACGGCTGCAGCTTCTCACTGACAAGATAATGCCGCTCGCATAATTCACAGTCGGGTTATTAGCAGAGAACACCGAGCAGGACTTGAATTTCGGCGCGGGATTGAGGCTATTAATAACAATTCTACTAATTCCCGCAGGTTCCGCGCTTATAACACGACGACAGATGACGGAACGTATCATTTGCACGTGCTTTCGAGTCTTGAGAACTCACTCGCGCGCTCTCATTTTCTGTGCACCCACAGATCGCGATAAGGAGAGTGACAGCTTTTAATCATTATTAAAGGAGTTTGCCAATGTGATATTGGTTTAATACAACAGTTCAATAAACAAGTACTGCCTGGTTTTGCTCTATTTCATCAACGAAAATAGTTCCAAATAAAGTAACAGCTCAGCCGCTGCGCATCTCTAAAAGCAAACACAGCGTGTTTAATTAATTCAATGAAAGTGCGTTTTTGAACGAATCTAGTGAGTCAGTGATTCATGATTACCCATTCATAAAGACTTGTTTCATTCCTGAATGAATCAGCTGTTCAAACGAATCGAATTAATGATTCAGTGATAAAAATCAGTGACTTGCCGCCACCTGCTGGCGGTTTCAGTTTCATTTTTAGATATAATTTCAGTTATATTTCTGTATTCCAAATTTTATATTTAAAACATTAATCTCAACATGAATGTATGAATTTAATTGCACTCATGCCACCTCTGAGAATCATTAAACATCTGAAAATGTACCCACAAGCCACTTTTGTATTCTTCTGTGCCACCTCTGTAGTAGAAATTAATTTTTGATTAATACTAATTTCATATGATTGCTAACTTATTTGTCTTATTCTACTTCTTATATATTTTTTAATAGAACTTTTAAAAAGCTTATAAACATAAATTTTTGACTTTTCCATTACAAAGGAAAATTTTCCATTTACCCCTGTAAATCACTATAAGGAGTCAAATATCACCTCGTATTAGGAAGGCTAATTTAAGGCTAATTTTTGATCAGAATTTATTATTGATCAGAAGGTGCTCCTATTTTTTTTTTTTAATTAGGAGGACAAGCGCTCCTAAAAAGAAAAGTAAGCATAGAGTGTATCAGAGAAAGCTGAGAGTGTATCAGTATATTAGATCCGTGCATGAGGTCTTAAAGAGACAGCAGCCTAAATAAACCTCCTGCTGCCTTTCATTATACAGTTGAAGACTATCCAGTGTTATTTCACAGTTGAGTAGATTATAGTTAGACCTAACTGAAAATATTTATTGTTATTGTTTTTGTTTGTGCTATTGATTGTCATTAATTTAGGTCCATGAGAAATAGTCCTGCCACCACAGCTGGAAAATAATCCTAGGAAACACAGCATACATTTAATAAAATTAGAAAAATGCATTTACAAAGGTAAAAAGAAAATGCCCTGAAATCACTTGTCAGCTCGTATTAGGAAGGCTAATTATTGATCAGAATTTTTTATTATTGATTAGAAGGTGCTCCTAAATGTTTTAAATTAGGAGGACAAGCGCTCCTAATTGCAAGAAGAAAAACACTGCTCTTAAACTGGGTGTGTGACAGGTATGGCTGTGGAATGGGGTTTGGCCGAGGAAAA